TTGTGTTTTCTCTCTTTCTTTCCCAGCACATCACAAACCCGAGGAAGGTTGTTGGCCAGCAAGACTTGATGATCAACAATCCCCTTTCCCAGGATGAAGGGGTAAAGTTTGTCTTTATTCATATCTCAACCGCTTTTACCCATAAGAGTATGCTTATGTCTTGTTATCCATCACCACGAAAGCAGTGTTATACCATACCAATTATTATTTTTTTTTTACCCCACGTGTTATACCACCTAAAACCAGATGGGCTTTATTCCATGCTGTGTATGGACAGTGTTGTAGGAAGCCAATGGTCTATTACTGGGGAAGGGCACTGCCAAGAAGAGGCCCCAGGGGTCTGTAAGAGCCGAAGGTCAGAGAGAAGAGCACGAAGCTGAGGGTTGAACTGTCCTCCCAGGGTCGCAGGGGGGAGCGGAAGGCTGCGGAGAGCCTCCCTTCCTGACAAAGGTAGAGAAGGCTTCACCTGGAAGGAGCAGGTCACACGAAGGAAAGCAACTGTTTGTAGTGAACCTGTGAACAAGTTTTTAAAGATCACGAAAAAGATCAGGCCCACGAGGAGTAATTACTACCTCAGAGGTATTGATTGTGTAACTTCTTCAGTTGCTGCTCTAATTCCTATTTCCATGTTAACGGACTTTTTTTTTTTCTCTATCTTCTACATAACATTAACATTTCTTTTTCCTGATACATGTAATTATTATAATATAGTCTATGTTATAGCAGCATGAAATATTAAGCAATTTTTAAAACTTTAAGTTCACATTTTAAAAAGTACATAAAAATCTATTTCATTATAAAACCTAATAGAGCGTAATAGAAAACGTTACATATCTTTCTTAGTGCGTTGGCAGTTCAGGTCAGGTTCAAGTGTGACCACTTGGCCAATGGGCCTCCTCTAATCCAGGCGGACCTTTTTGTTGTTGTAGGGGTGGCAGCAGATGTATAGCAGTAAAAGTATCATTCACTTTAAACAGATAGTAGAAAATTTTAAATGTACACAGTAATATCACTGGAAAAGTTGATGTTAGAATAAGGATGTATTTCTGAGATTAAAGTAGACTTTAATAAAAATTTTTCCAGGTTGAGGTTTCCTATCTGCAGTGTAAAATCATAACTCAGAGAGGGATAAATTTAATCATTTAATTATTAAATTGAGATCATAAAAGTCAAGCAAAGTTGGGGTATTATTTTAAATAGTTTGCTTTCCTTATTTCAGAGTCTTTGGAACAAATTCTTCCAGGATAAAGAACTTCGGTCAATGATTGAACAAGATGTCAAAAGAACGTATGTAAAACTACCTACAGGTTACTTGCAATAATTCAAACTGGCGTTACCTCTTTGCAATTTTAGCAAAATATACAATCTTAATTGATTGCAGTATTCTACTTGTGTTAACAGTTATTTTGGCCGAAGTTTGATAATAATAATTACTTTCTATTCTTAAAGTATAGATTTTTGTGTTCCCTTTGTCAAAGTAAATTACATTTATAATATTAAAATAATATGTAAACACTTAACTATTTAAATCAGTTTTTCAGTTCCCAATGATTATTTGAAGTCATGTGCTCTGATTAAGGTTATATTTTATAGTCTTAATACTGGTTTTGCTAAAAAAAATTATCTTTTGCTTTACACCTTTGAATCTCTTTCTAATCAAATTACTTTTTAAAGGACAACTATTATTTTTACACCCCCCCC